TTCCTTTCCTTTCCTTTCCTTTCCTTTCCTTTCCTTTCCTTTTTTTTTTTTTTTTTACAAAAGAAGAGTCTGAGTAGGCACTTATGCTTTCTAATTAAAGGCGAAAACGAACATGATGCAGAGATCTGTAATTATCTTTTTTTCCCATGAAGTTTGCTTTGCTACTTAGTGCCACATTGTGCTACTTTGAAAATCTGGGGAATTGTACAGCTTGGGGACAGGTTACTTATTTCCTTAACATTCAACTTTGCAAATGTGTGTGTGTGTGCGTGTGTGTGAGTTTAAAAAGCTATGTGTATTTTGTGCTTACAAACAACTCTATTTTTAATAAAACTTTATGGAAGCTTCATCAAATAACTCATAAGTGGTCCACAACCTGACCTTGAGTCTATTACACTAGTACTGCCTCTTGTTTTAACATGCTGTAATATAATATGTTACACAATTCCTTGTTCTTCACTTCATAATACCCACTGCAGTTCCTTTTGATATTTCTCCTCAGACCAAACTCCAACACCAACCCGGTTCCTAAAGAACTGTGAGGAAGTGGGACTCTTCAGCGAGATAGACTGCTCCTTAGAGCATGAGTTTAGAAAGGCACAAGAAGAAGACAACAGTAAAAGGGTATGCCTTCCTAGAACGGAAATATTCCTTCCCCACTTCCTGTGTTCTCTGGATGAAAACAGAGCAAACTCTATTACCTGAATGAGAAAAGAGGTGGGGGTGGGGTGGGGGAAACATTTAAATTGGAAACTAGGTGGCACTATAGATTGTGACATGTTTGCAACCTGCTTTAGCTGAGTAGACAACCTGGATTTTAATCCCGATTGTAAAGGCAAGCAGGAATTGATTACCACGTTCAACCGAACACCTTATAACGGCACGTATTTCAAGAGCAAATGCACACATATGGATACAAGTGCATGTGCACAAACACACGCAGGTACAAACAGACTTCAAATCGCATGCAAAAGAAAAAGAAAACTAATTGTGGTCAGTGAGGGAATAATTTTAAAAGCCCTGATTCTTTAATCAATAGCTGCTGCAGCTATGGCTGTTAAACAGATTGTTTAGCAATGCTCTATGTTCAAAGTCTGTGAAATTGTAGAAAGCAAACTGAAGGTGGAATGTTTATGGTTGGCTTCCTCCCCAACTTTGAGTAAGTAACCCGCAGTCCAGAAAACTAGACAGACTTACTTGGCTATAAATTTGATGCTTCTATAAGAAGGAGAAGCTGCTGCTAGAAAACAGAACCAAACCAGACAACCAGAGCACTGGGAGGAACATAGAGTGAATTTCTGGAATATTGCCTCAGGCTCTTTGGTATAATGGCATTGTAAGATTTCACTTCCCCATTTAAAAAAAGAAAAAGAAGGAAAGAAAGTCTGGTAGATGTGGACAATTTCAAGCAAGGTTTATGAGGTGTTCCCACTTCTTTATGAAAGACAGCCTCTAGAGTTGCTCTTCAATGTTTATTTAGCAAAGAAAAATAGGTATGATTGTTTTTACATTGAGGCCACAAAATCATACCTCAAGAAAATTGGGAGATTAGCAAAGTTTAAGTCAGATGGCATTTTCTATGCAAAAAAAAAAAAAAAGTTTAAAAATGCCCATTTTGGGCAGGATGTAATAGACCTTTTTGCCCATCATGTTGAGGATGTACTAAGGAAGGAAAGAACCTACTGGAGAAATTCAGTCTTAGTGATATATATTAACTTGATCCACACCTCTCAGGGCAATGTGCATGCTGGAAGGGTATCTGTTGGCTTTTGGACAACCTGAATGATTCACTGTATTTTTTGTCTCAAAGGCCTATCAAAATACATTCATATTTAATGATAGAGAGGAAAAAAAAAAGGGAAAAGTGGAATATTTAGAATGCATGTTTTGAGAGGAAATGCAAATGCTGTTCTTCTGGTGTATATTTCCCCCCTTAAAAATATAAAAGGTGAGTAGAATGGATTTATTAGGGAACATATGCAAAAATCATATTGAGTGAAAATAGATTGCTTCCACAACAGCAGTCTGCTAGTGCCTAAATTTATTCTGCACATAAATTTGATGGGGGAATTCCTTTCATTTTTTTCCCAGAGGAGAAGAAAAAAATTCATTGAAATTCTTAAGGAAGGGATGGAAAGTCCCTGTACTTATCTTAATTACAAGATGGCTAGGGTGTGTTGAATGCATGTGCCCAGTCTTTCATTGTACAATAATCTCCTTGGCTGTCTACAGCCTTGCTGGTTCCTACAGGTGAATTAAATCTGAAAGGAAGACATCACAAGGGAACTTTTCCCGCTAGTCTTTCTGAGATTAGGAAGCAGGGACATCCACACATAGCCACTGAGGGACATATGACCCAAAACATCACTGTTAAGGTTTTTTAAAATAAAAATAAATTTAAAATAAATTCTGAAGCATTGTTAAGAAGGAGTTACCAAACATAAGCCTCTTTTGCCAGGAAAAAAGTTTACAGAAATTAGAAAATAAACTTCAATCCATACTATGTTCTACTGGGTCATACCCTCCACATGTTCAGTTAAATATTTTCACGAAGGTTACATGCATACAGTGCTATGGGACGCCTGATTCATAACCTTCCATCGCATACCCAATATAATGCTAGTTTCAGAATTCAGTATATTCAGTTTATCATGTAAATCTTATTGTATCTTCTGGATGTTACTGAAATACATAGAGAGTCACGACTTTTCAGGATGTGACTATTTCTCTGCTTTCATCATACATGTAACAACTTCCATGTAATAATAAGTATTTTTGTCTTGTGCAAAGTCATAGGTTTTTCAGGCAGCTTATTATAATTAATGGATTAGATCCCAGAATTCTATGTATGAGTGAATCAGGAAAATTCCAATTTCTATGTATCATTTATAAAGTACTTTCAATCTACATGGCACCTTATAGAATAAATACAGCTGCCAGCCCTAATGAGCTTAGAATGTAAATTTGAAAGGGGCACAAAGGGAAGAAAGGAAGAGACGGGGGTAACAAAAACAAGAAATTGTTGAAAAAAATATAGCTTGGGCCATCAAGGAGAATTAGATATAATTAAGGAGAACAGCTTCTATTGTTTTTGGACTTAGATTCCAGTAAACTATAACAAACTATATTTGGAATAAGGCAGGATCAAAACAAAACAAAACAAAACAGAAAAAAACCCTGAAGGCTGTCTTTCTGATGTTCAAGTCAAAAAGCCATCTCTTGCTGACAGTAACTGATGGTGGTGCCTCAGACAAGAGAGTGTGTCAGTCAGACATTGCAATCCAAAGCAGCAAGGTAGACAGTGTCAGCAGATCAGGTTATCATCTGAGCATCAGGCAACAGGTTTTAGGTTTATACTGGTCTGAGCAAAAAGTCTCCAGAGCATTTGTCATAGGTTATATTTGCAAGCATATGACCTTTCCTGCTGTTGGAGAAGAACTGTTGGCAAATTGGCTCCAGAGTACTGCAAGAGGGCTGGGAGAATAAAGGCAAAGCTGAGACAATCAGTATTGCTTTCATACAGAACAACTGGAACAACCCTGTGAAGTGTTAGAATATTAAACATCACCTGCATTCTGTATGCGACTAGAAAAAACAAGCAAGTAGGATCCAACTTGGAGCAGTGCAGGTACCCTGTTTGAAGTACACTAGGTGTATTTACTGTGTTGGAAGTGTGAGACAGGAGTATCTTTAAAATATTGTTAGTGTGGTTATTGTCAATGACCCAAACATTGTATTAATCCTGACATTATTGTGATCTTATTTAAAAAGTAAATAACTTCTTCCCTTATTTCTCTCTCCTTAACCCAAATCAAGATCAGGACTATGATGCATAGTGTGGAAACAGAAAATCTTCCTTCCTTCCTTCCTTCCTTCCTTCCTTCCTTCCTTCCTTCCTTCCTTCCTTCCTCAAGATAGCACAAATAATGCCATCTCTAGAACTGTTGTTAAACCACTTTCTGGGTAGCAAGACAAATGTTAGTAATGATATGTATGTGTATGTATGTGTATATATATGTGTGTGTGTGTATATATACATACATATATTACACACACACATATATACACACACACCATACACACACACACGCACACACACACCATTCTGGCCATATATACACTATGGCCAGGATGCCCACGGGTTAGGAAATTGTAGTCCACACATCTGTGGATTAATGGTCTGTTTCAGGTGATAAACTGACATTTTAGTAGATGGCAATATCATGCTGCTCTCCACATGGCTTATTTAGCAATGTGATATGTAGAGCACTAAACAGGGAGTATAGGAAAAAAGATTGCATTCTTTTTGAATGTGCCCTCCATGAAACCCTGGTGGTGCTCACTCTGCCACCCCACTTGGCAGGGACCTTGCATGGCTTTGCAGACATCACTGAGATTTGGAAGACTTCTTTGGAGCAACACACTTGTCAAAGGTGTCAAACTGAGCAGCTTACTTCATATACACAATGAATTCTGCTGTGATAAGCCAACTGGTACATGCATCTTTGTTCCAAAAGACTGTGAATCATGGCAATGAAAGTGATGGAGGAGGGTGTGTATGGGAGTTGACACTTCTATTTTGTGGTCTTGTTGTACGATGACTCATTACAGAAAGATTATAGGATTTTTAAAATAAGGCTATGGGGACTAAAACAATGCTATGTATCTCACTGCTTGAGAATATCAACATACTGTAAGGATGAAGTTCAGAATGAAATACGACTGCTGAGCTGTCAAAATATCGTTATTAAAGAAGACTCAAAATCATCTTTATTCGCAGTGTAAAATATAAAAAAAACTTAAAATGATTGCTATATAATGCCCTTAAGGGAAAAAAAAGGTTTAGATTTTTTGATTTGATTTTACCTAAATGAAATTTTATTGTTCTCCAATACTGTACTAGAAAATTAGTTCTAAACTTCACCTTATTAAGAATCAATTTAGAATGTGTTCCTTTGCTAATATGATTTTATGATTGATAACAGATATTTAAAATACTTTTATGAAACCATCATTCAGGTTTATGGGGGGAAGTACCCTAGTTAGCTGGAATCTGAGCATGGTTGGAAATGAAATACATTGAAATATATACGTGCTCAGATTATTTAAAGAATTAGAAAATCAATATTTCTACATATGCCTGCTGTAATTGTATGCCAAGCCCTTCACTTTGAACATGCTGTTGTATATTTCCGGTTTATTTCAGTATAATTTGTCTGGATGTTTCCAGGCAAAAATACTTATTGATACTTAGCACACTACATTTCTGGTTGAGAAGCAACGTAACAAAACAGCTCTAGGATACTGGGGAGTCTCTGGTTTAGATCTCACAGCTTCCATCAACAGTCTGTCTTAAGTAAGTCCCTTGCTCTTCGACACAGTCCCCAGTCTGAAAAATAAGATTAATAAATGTCAATGTGGATGTCTCCATATAGTAATAAGGACAAGCTTAACTCCAGCAAGTGTGCAAAATGCTTGGAACGCTTAAAAATGCAACATTTTGTTAAATCACTAGTTGCTTACTTTGACCTAACTTTTTTTTCCAGGCTGAGAGATGGATACACTTGTTCTTTCTATAATGTTTTGGCAATTCTAAAAGAAAAAATAGGTGAAGTCCAGTCAAA